TAGCCTCACACCCCTCACGCACTCATGCCCCTCACCGCCTTCACGCACTCATAACCCTCATGCCCTCACAGTCCTCCCTGCCCTCACGCACACACCACCCTCATACCCCTCATGCAGTCACGGGCCACGGCCCTCACACCCCTCACGCACTCACCGCCCTCATATCCCTCACGGCCCTCACAACCCTCAAGCACTCACCGCCCTCACGGTCATCACATTCCTCACTCACCCTCACGCTCATGAATTTTCGGGGTTCAGAAACTCACTCACCCTCATCTCACCTGTGAAGATGAGGGTGAGTGAGGGCCCTCGTGAGTGAGGTTTGCCGAGATATGTTCGGGACACTTAAAAAGCGCGAGAGGAAAGTTGGTGCATTTCCTTTGAAATCGCAAAAATGCTAAAAACACGAGAAAAAAATTAAGTAAAGCGATTTGCGCAGATAACAAAACGAGCGGACAAAGGAAAATCGAACTTTTCTATTTTGACGATGCGCATCCAAGGCTCTTCGTGCGAAAACCACTCTCCAACCCTCCGCGTAAGATCGGCCACTATATCGAATTAAGTAAACTGGGTCGGTGTAGCACACGCCCGCATAAACACACACACATAGAGATCACTTCATTCGCACCTCCTGCACGACAAGTCCGAAAACACACATTAGCTCGAGCTGGAGCACTCCATCCGAACCGAAAGCAGGTTGGTTGTACGCGGCCTAAAATTCAGCGCGCGACCGCCCAGAACAGGGGAGGGAAGTGCATGGAATAACAAACGCCCCAAGAACATTCCACTTCTCTGCGGGAAAGATGAGACGGGCGAATACATCAAGCGGACAAGCGGGCAGCCAAAAATAAAGGCGAGCTAAAAAAATACAATTATAAGAATAAAAAAAAAAAAAAAAAGCCTCCGCTCGAGTATGTGCGTCTGTGCGTCACGCTGGCGGAGTCGAATCCGCAGGAGGGGAAGGCAGGGAATCCGCGGACCATAAAGTCAGGCAAAAGGACGTGGCCATACTTTACAGGCTGTCACAACTGGAAACAAGCTGTCCGAGGGACAAGCAATCAGTTCGCAAATTGTCCCGCACCCGAAACAGCGATGGTAATTGAGCTGCATAACGTACGTAGTTTATACGCCTCTCGCCACAAACAACCGATCTAAACAACCGAGGAAAAACGGACGGGGATAGGAACATAAATGACAAAAAAAGAGGGAGAAAAGAGTGGACTTCCGTCTTCGCCTCGGCTGTACCAAGTGGTCCGACGGAGCTAGTCTCCCGGCTATAGCGCAAGATCGCCGTAATTTATGCGTCCGCATGCCGCCGAGACGCGTGCCGGACATTCCATATATCGAGAGAGTAAACCAGACGTTCCCGGCGACACTCGTGGCCCAAGAAGGAGGACCCCGTACGTAGACGGGTTCAAGCTCCATCCGCGGGCATTCTTTGCTGTGCTCTGATTACACGTCCGCGTGAGCTGGGCCTTCGGAGCTGAACGTAACGTCTTATTTGAGAAGCACACTCCATACCTGATCGAGTTATGGATGACTGAAAACACCGGCGAAAAATGCCCCGGTAGACGAACGGAGCTCTGAGTCTGAAGCCTTTTGTGTCTATGTAACGATACAAACAACGTACTACCTAGCCGTAAATCGGAGGTTCTTCATGCGGCGGCTTCTTAACGCGTGACACACAGCAGGTTCCCCATAAAACGTCCCTAAAGGCGTCAGCTTCTTTTATTGTTGACAGACGAATATGTTTTCAACGTACTCTAGATACGTACTGTAAATGGATACAATGAAGCTAAGACGATCGCACCCTCGCGGCAAACAAGAAACTACGTTCGGTGTCTTCCCAGGAAGAACTTAACCAAGAAGGCTCCAAGAAAGCTCAGGTTCAACGTCCCGAAGGAAATAAAAACGCACGAGAAAGACAACGAGAAGGAGAGAAGTACGAGACAGGACAATTATGGTCAGACTTGGATAAAAAAAAAGAAAAAAAAAGGCTACCTCTGTTCCGCACGCCGCGCTCACGAATGCCTCGCACCAATTGCCGCAACGACATCGAAACACGATTTGTTTTTCGTCCATTTTCCGCGCGAGAAGAGCCCACACGTGTTTTGGTCCCAGCGCTATTCCATTAGATTTGACGAAACAAATTCCGAGAAAAAAAAAAAAAAAAAAAAACTATATTCATACATTCGCGTCGCATCGCCGAGTGGGCCCGGTTATTCAGAGTCAAACGATGCCCCACCCCGGCAAGTCTGCTGTCCGCACCTGTTAAAGAGCAGCTCCAAAACAGTGATACGCGGTGGCTGCACATGAACGAGAAACACCACTCCCCGTTCTTGGCTCTTCTGTGCCGCCGCTCGCGAACCCGTCACCAGCAGGTTTTAGCAACAAGGTTAAAAAAAAAAAAAAAAAAACGATTGGACAGACCCGGTCTCCAAAAGCAACCAGCACAAATTTATGTTTAATTGAAAAGGACCCGAGTCAAGATGTCGAAACAACCCTTGGGTAACAAAAAAAAAAAAAAAAAAAAAGTTGCCTCATCCGGGCATTTATTAATTTCTAGCTATACTCCGTTTCGCCGTACGATGAACCGCGGGTGACACTACGAACCATACAAAGCCAATCGAATGCCGTGGAAGTGTCACGTGACCCCTATGAGGGGACGCGTAGTCATGTGACAGTTTCACAGCTCTAGATTGGCTGGGGTAGCCCGTAGCGTCCGTCGCGGTCCATGGTCAGGTAAGTTTCTCCCTTTCCCAGCGACTCCTGGAGCGTGGAAGAGTATTAGGGAAGGGGAACCAGGAGGGATGGCAGCGGACTTTGGAGTCCCTCGTGTACTTACATACTGGCGAGCCGGAGCAGAGACGAGAGAGGCGTCCAGGCCCGAGGAGTCCACCGGCGCACGCGCAGCAGAGTCAAGGGTCCGGCGGAGGCGAGACAATCCCGCAAACGAAGCACGGTGTTCCGCAGCGGGGAGCGGAGGGAGCCGGTCGGGTGCCGCAGCATGGAACCGGGAGGAGGGGGGGACGGGGAGACGTGGCCGTGAGCTCAGAAACACCAAAGACCCTTCGGCGGCGGCGCCACGCCAACACCCCAAACAGAACAAAAATTGCTCGCGGTAACGAACAGCTCTCTGACCACGACGAGTGGAAGAGGGTGGGTAGGTATACGTTGCCCGGATAGAGCGAGCCGGCCGCGTAGGCACGTCACGCCGAAAGACACGGAACATCGTTCACGAGGGAGCTCCCTCCGCATGCGGTCAGTCTAGGTGGGGAGACCGCGTCGGGGCTACGGGCCGTTCCGACGACCGGACAGTGTCGGCCGGGTTTGCTTGTCTCGTACGCCATCTCGGCCACACTTGGCCAAAAAACAACACACAAACACACACCAGAGTCCAACTTGAACAGGCTAAACGCCTCAAGGTCCAGTCTCTTCGTTTGAAGGTCGAAAACATAAACTGCTTCCTATTTTTTAATCTATTTTTTTTTTTGCTCTATATTTAGGAAACTACACGCTCAAAACTTCCCGGGACGGCCGGTGAAACAGATTGCCCGCTTGCTTCGAAGTATCGCGTTTCAATGGTGTCATTGCGATTGCGGATAATAGAACATTACAAATAAATCGAAAAAAAAAAAGAAGAGAAGATAGAAGTGGTAAGTTAATTTCACGAAGCACCAGACGACACGAGCAACGCCCTGTCGAAAAATTAAGCTACAAAACAAATAATGTAAATTCTTGCTCGACTAAAAGCCGGTTCAGACACTTGCGTTTGAGTGCGGTTGACTGCGGTGCGTCGAGAACCGAAAGCGAGTCACCGACACATCTGTGCTTCGTATGAAGCGTGGAATCCAATTCAAGGAATCATCTTGGCGCGCGATATAAGCAGCAGGGATGTCCTGGTTTCTCGTTGTTGCAACGCAGCCAAACGCAACTGTCTGAACCAGGCTTAAAGGGCCGTCAATCCCGAATCCATTGCACTGTGTATTATTATTATTATTACGCTACATGGAACGGTGCTGACTGAAGTTGCCGTAAAAATATCATCAACCAGGTTTCGAATGCGCATTCGAAACCTGGTTAAAGAAAAAAAGGCGGTTCATAATTAAGTCATTTTATGTTCGACACCGGTAAAACAATGTTTCTCAGACGTATCAAGAACAAACTCTATCAAAAAATTATGCAAATTTAAAACCATACATTACGGCAATGACAGGAGGCGAACTGACTGCCGAAACTTTGGCATACACCCGCGTTAGTTTGGGTGCAACTATACACCACCCCAATATTTGGAACTTCTCAGCCCAGCACGCACATGTTCGTCGCTTCGGAGAGCGAGCAAATAACGCACCATACGCACAAACACTGAAGATAGAACCGGCCAGGAGCCCTCTTTTTGGAAAAGTCTATAGACGAATGCAAGCACGGCATCTGGCCGCCGCCGCGTCTGCTCGCGCGTGCAACTACACCCATAAGCGATATGAAGGTGAAGAGCCCTCTTCTTGTTTTTGACGCTCCTGCAAGTGTTGGAACAAGCCCTGTTCCAGAAGAGGGCTAGAACGCAAAATTTAGACCCCAAGCCACGTACCATTTGAGATGTTGAGTTAATATAGCTTTAAGGAGCCGTAAAACAGGCAAGAAACCAGGTAAGGTGTTCACCTTCATATTGCCGGCGGGTGTACGTGCAAGTACGTGCCGCTGCCAACTTGCCAAAGCTACGTTCACGCGCACGCTGCACATGATTTCAAGCATGGGACAGTGAGGCGACATGCTTTCAGTTGTCTATAGGAAGTATTCACTGGCGGCCATAGCTGTGTGCGCGACGGCTGAGCGCGTGCTGATGGCTAGCTTCCAGGGTTCTTTTGCAACGTGCATTCCACACCGTCAAAATGGCCGGTCTTAGCAGCCTATGAATGGGGGCTCGTTCTGAGCATGCGCTCTAGACAGCACCCACAAATATGGCGCCCAGTGAATACTCCTTATAGACTGACAAGAAGAACGAACAGAAGCGCAAAGAGCGAGCGCGTAGCTCCGAACAAATCAAGACCACGAAAACTAGACTGGTGACGATCTTCGGAGATCCGCGCAGCAAGCAAGCAACGCAGTTACAAAATGCGCGTGCTTGGGTTGACCGTGTTCGCAATCCCGTTTTTCACGCGAGTCTCGACGTGCTAAAATTCGAACCACCTTAAAGAATTACGGCGCCAAGATAAGACCAAAGAGAAAATACTCACGCCCTGGCAGCAGAAGATAGTGACGATCATGAAAACGAAAAAAAAAAAAAGCGTCACGTTAAAAACAATTAAAATTCAAACATCAAGCAGCGTAATTTGAAAGAAACTTACCGATGTGAAGTCCTGGCGAGTGCAGAAGGAAACAACATGAAAAAGGGAAAGGGGGAAAACAAGTTAAGTCTCAGGACGAGTTACGACGACTCGAGCAAATATTAGTATCTCACAACCGGAGACTCGATTGCCATATAAGGCTGCTACGAGGATCACTCAGGAGAGTACCACGAGCTCGAGTGAGCAGCTCAAATGCAAAACAAATGTAGCGCGACTTAGTTGCACTATACCTCAAGCAGCAACAAAAGGTAGCTTTTCAGCTCAAAAAAAAAAAAAAAAAAGACACACCCAGAGACACCCATGCAACGTCGTATACAAAAAGCACCGCGCGTGTCGCTCCCTCCCCATCTTTACCGAAACACTTGGAACAAAGGAAAAGGGCTGGTGCGGGGAACCTGCAGCCAGCCAGACAGAAGGCTTGATGCCACCCTTGGGAATTCATTACCTCACCCCTCCCGCTCAGGGCCAGAGTGCTCCACTTCAAATCAGAGCCAAGTTTGATTAATAGCCCCCCGCAACACTATCTTCCAATCGTTAAGCCGGAGTAGCTTTTTTTTTGTTTTCGTTTTTATGCGCGCGTAAACCAGCTGCCCCGACCCTCCATCTCGAGCCGTCATGGAGCACCCATCGACCCCGGTCAGTTTCCCGGAAGGGCCACTCTAACCCGCCCTAGCGTCAACAGCTATCTTTTGTCAGCTGGAGGGGTATTAGAGGATCGCGAGGGAGTTCTGGCTCCACGCAGCGTGATGTTCCAAAATAAACGGGAGAGTTCGCAGGTACGACTTAAGAAAAAAGACAATAGGTGACGTGTAGCAGCGTCTACACTTAACGAGGGATTTCGATGAAGGTCATCGAAGTGTCCAAGAGTACTATACATAATGTTTTATTTCTCATCAAATAATATGCTTTAATAAAACCGTTAACTACATACCAATTCCCATCGTTCATTTTTTTTTGTTCCACGTTTGTGTTTGTGTTGTTTCTTGTAAAGTATCGCTCCAGCTCTCCGTAAAGCAAACACAAATATGTCCTCATCAATCCTTGCTCTGTCCGTTTTTTTTTTTGGCGCTTTTGGTACGAAAGTACATAGAAATATGTTCCCGACTTTTGAAACCCGCGCAAAGGGTCAATGTGGAAGCGATCAAAAACAACGCAAGTGTAGTCATCGCTTATTCACCGAACAAAGCAAACTCGCAAAAAGCGCCGATCAAAGGATTACGGCAGATTTCACAGTGACCGTGCACCAACTGAGAAAACCCTATTTATCGGAGGGACAAAAAGATGATCTGAAAACAAACATTGAACAAAGCGTCGAAAGAAAACGCTGCCAGAAAAAAAAAAAAAAAAAAAAAAAAAATGTCGTTTCGAATATTGCGACAGCAGACTGACTGTTAAACCCACGCGGCTTACAGCTTACAGCCAAACTCAACTCCCGCCCGGCAAGAAATGGCCCACCAACAAAAACGTAAAATAAAAAAAAGAAAAGAAAAAGAAAACAACAGAGTACTGACCTCAACCAAAACAGTTCTGGTCAAGTTTCGATCTGTCGGACGCGGCGCCAGCTCGCAATATCACGAGGCTTCGCACACGCACAAAATTGGCCAAAAAATACAAAAAAAATAATAATAAAGCTTCGAAAAACAGGAACACATCGGCAAACACATACACCGGGCACACGCAAAAACGAGCGAACACGGAATTTCATCAACGACACGGGGTCTACAACACTCCATCTTCCAACGCGCCCGACATAGCACGGTCACCGCGCAAAAGAAGACCCCAAAAATATGACGCGGAAAAGCGACAGATTTTTCGGCTCTCTCGGAAACACAGTTGCAAAGGGGGGCGCGCGCAGCTGGCCGAACCCGAGCGCGCGCTGTCCGGCATATGAGAGCCACTCAAAGCCGGGAACAGCTGCCAAGATTGCCGCCCGGAGACTTCACAGAGCACCTTCCGAAAATCCGGGCCACGCGCGAGCGCTAGGGACAGGCACGCGTATGCCAGCAGCGCGATGTAACGAAATGACTCGAGAAGTAAATGGAAAACGGCGCCTCAACAACGACGGTGAAAATTTCAGAAAAGAAAGAAAGAAAACATTTTGACATTGTCGGACAGTTGTGTTCGTTCAGTACCCTCAGAAGCCGTAAAAGCACGGACATGAGCCCGGTCTTCAAAACAACGACAAAAAAGCAGCAAAAAAAGAAAAAACAAAAAAACAATTTTGGAGTTGAAGCACGCACTTCAATTTCATTAACACCAAAGCGAATATTATATTAAAATTCATGTGCAGGTCTATCCCAACTACAAGACAAAGTTTTCCTTGCCTTCGGACTTCTGTGCTATCTTCTGTTAGGGTCAACTGCACGGAGGGTTTAATGGACCTTTTCCACATACCGACGGCACCAGGCGGTGGCTGCACGAACTAAAAATCGAGGAAGTGACCTACCTGCGCTACCAATCGATAATGGGGGCTACGCTACCAGTTTCTTCGCTCTCTGAGCAGCGGCGCCTGCCCAACGCGACTTGAAAGAGGGGCATCCGTGGCGTCCACCCAAACGTCGTGTTTTCCTTTCCGTCGACGTTCTTTTTTTGTGTAACACAATTATATATATGCCTCAGTTACGTGTTCTACTCGCTGATATGCAGCCTCCTTCCGAATTTCCTCGATTTTTCGTTCCGACTTCCGCCGCTTGGCATCGGGCGCTCGCGCGTGCGCAGAACGCTTCTCGGAAAAGGTCCATTCCCTCAAACACAAAACCAGCTGTTTAGATGAGCGTAAAAGCGCCAGGCAGGGCAACAAAGTGCTGAGTGATGAAAAAGGGCATGAAGTGTTATGGGTGGTTATTTTTGGGCACGAAATCAAAGGTAAACCAAATGCTATATTACACTGAAATAATGTCCGAATAGAATAATTTTGAGCACCCAAATCGCTATCTTGCTCAAGTTCTAAAACTTAATCAAGTTAATTAATAAACTTACTAACTAAAGTTTAATCAAGACTGCGAGTCTTAAATAAAATAAAAACAAAGCTTTTGTCATTTGATAAGAACATCAATGACAGTTTACACGTCAAACTTCATTGTAACGAAAATTGGCACGTGAACAATAAACATGCTCCCCATCCACCGCAATAGCTAATTTAATTTGAATTTACTCTGCTCAGTGTGCTATGCAACAAATGGAACGTAAAGGTGAAAATCAAGAAGTTGTGATAAGAAATCAATCTATAGGGCAGTCCATCTTCTCGCAATACCCAAATGTCCTCGCTAAATCCCGAAATTGAAATGTTTGTATCGCCAAAATGTTGGAATACCTTTCCCACACTACGCGAGTGCGCTGCGGCGAAGCAAGATGCGAAAAATTGCGACGCCTACTCCGATGTTGACATGATAACCCTGGAGCCGGAGAAAAGAAGGGACGTAGGACAGACACATAACATGGAGTTTTCTGCCTATCCTACGTCCCTTCTTTTCTCCGGATCCAGGGTTACCATGTCAGTATTGAACCAGCTCGCCTGCACCCTTGCTTCAGTTACTCTGATGTCGCTTCACTGCAGTAGAACAGTGTGCGATGAGAAGCCCACTCCGCGAAGCTAACCAACTAGAATAGACCATAAACGTGTGAAATATTGCAAAACGACTTCGTAGTGTCAGTGTTTGATAAAGAGATCAAATCGAATAGTACGCTATTTGAAGTGATGATCGAAAGTTCTGAAAATTCGTGCAAGCTGACCGTCACAATCCGGCCGTATATTACATTTTGAGTATAGTAAATTGAAATTAAGTTATGACGCAATGCTCGAACAAATTCCTCACATCGCACAGCTAGCAATCAGGCACGTTGCCAGGGGGGGGGGGGGGGGGGGGGGGGAGCATGCCCCCCCCCCCCCCCCGAAACAAAATTTTGGCTACGTGCCTGACAGCAATCACATCACTGTCCCAGGTTGGCCGGACTTCACTAGCCAAATTTCTCACCTAAGCGTAAGCGTCGCCGTACCTAAAAAAAAAAAAAAAAAAAAAAAAGCCTCTCGTTGTTTTTTGTTTTTTTTCAGTTTGCCGATTGAACTTTTTTAATGCGTTTAAGTTTACAATTGGAGAGCACTCAGGGTTTTACTCTGATGGGTTTAGAATCGATCCACCATAATGATGACATAATGCAGAAATGGTGAAACTCCCAGTAAAATACTTTACTATGGAGAATGCATTAAACTCCACCCATTGCTAGACAGCTGGGGCCGTTTGTCTAGAGAGATTGGTAATTAATTGGTAAGAATTGGGCGAAAATAAAAGCACGTCATTGCCCGAAATTGTTTCAATGACCTTGGGCACGATGATTGACACCTCTTGTGAGCTACCACTAGCCTCAAATATTCCCCTAGCGGAGTCAATGAGCCTAACAAATACCTTCCAATAACAATATCTAGGTAAGGATGTATTCAGGTATTTCATTTCGGCACGTTAGAGTTGAAATTTGCGACTCTTCGTAACTGAAAGGGCAACGCACGTGACGTTGCCGCCACGGCGACATTCAGAACACAATAAAACTTTCTTCAGACTGCACTCGCGGCCGTGGCCACGAAGGAGTGGGCAGTAAAAACTGCGGATGCGGAGTTTTGGCCCAAACCCCGAACGCGCATCCCACATTTGCAGAGTCGCCTGATGGTTCAGGAATTTTTTCTCGTCAACGTCAGCCCACTCAGCACCTTGATACGCCCCCTTTCCAGCAATATCTTACAATTCTACATTTATGCACCTTCAGCCAGCCTCATCCAGAAACAAGAAATACCTGCGCCGCGCTACGCAAATCCTTCAAGGTCATCTGAGCTCATTCTTACTTCGCAAGTTTATCACGGGGGGAATATGCGGCGCTGACGGCGTCGCCGCTCTAGAGTTCCTGTATATGCTACCTACGGTGGCAGAGTTGCGCATTCAGCCTTGGCGCGTGGCCGTAGCGCCGGCTTTCCCGCACGAGCTGGATGCTTTGCTCCTCACGTGACTAAATTTGGCGAATAG